GGAAAATACGTCTCATTGTACAGTAACTAGTTTTTTTTTTAAAAATCAATACCCAATACAAGTCTTGATGCCTTGTGTAGAAGTGGGTAGATTTTCTTTCTCTCATGCTGAGATAATTTGATGTTAGCCACTTTTACTACCAAACTAAATGGGATAAAACATTTAGCTTGGTGGTAAAAGTGATCAAAGTCAAATATCTACACATGAGGAGAACTACTTCTTTAGAAGGTTGGTCATTTCCATACTTTTCTGTGCACTGGGGGTGATAGGAATTTCCAAATGGGACTACTCTTAGGAAGTCTAGATACAAAAAAGATCACATTTTGGCCCAGTCATTAATCCAGTTTCTCTCAAATAAGCTGTTTCCATGTATTTCATCAGTTCTGTTCAGAAAAAGATCTCAGAAGAGGGTCTATCATGCGTTTGAGGACTGGTGGGTTGTACTATTTCTGTGCACTGGGGGTGATAGGAATTTCCAAATGGGACTACTCTTAGGAAGTCTAGATACAAAAAAGATCACATTTTGGCCCAGTCATTAATCCAGTTTCTCTCAAATAAGCTGTTTCCATGTATTTCATCAGTTCTGTTCAGAAAAAGATCTCAGAAGAGGGTCTATCATGCGTTTGAGGACTGGTGGGTTGTACTATTAACTACCCAATAAGCTGTTTCCATGTATTTCATCAGTTATGTGCAGAAAAATATCTCAGAAGAGGGTCTATCATGCATTTGAGGACTGGTGGTTTGTACTATTAACTACCCAGAGTAACCACTGGGTTAGATGGGCAGTATAAAAATAGAGCGATCGAGCAAATGAGTGAATAAACGAACAAATGAACAAACGAAATAAAACCCCAAATAAACAAACAAACACTTCTCCTTGGTAGCTTCTCTCCTTGTTACATGTTCAGGAGAATATGAACTATGTTTTTGACTCTGGGTGAACAACTAACTTATCCATTGATAGAGTGATAGGACAAACAATTCCACACCCACACCTACTGGAACATCCACCCCAAAAACCTGATATTCCAGCATATTCAAAGCCCTACTGTAATATTATGCACCTGTTGTTTCTAAGCTGAGAAATAGTTCTTTCTCTCTCAATTTCTGACTTATCACTCAGTTTTGTTTACCTAATCTTATAACTGCAGAGCTGGAAGAGACCCCATGGACCATTGAGTCCAGGTCTTGTCAAGGAACACAGTGGGAAATGGAACTCCCAACTTCTGACTCCACAGCCAGATACCTAAACCATTGAGCTATCCACCTGTGCTAACTTCAGTTATCTTTGAAATATATTGCACTACAGGGATGGACAGCCAGATAGCTAAACCATTGAGCTATTCACCTGTGCTAACTTCAGTTTCTTTGAAATATATTGCACTACAGGGATGCATATTAGACAAACTGATGTGAAGGGTGACTTTATGTTTATAGCTGAGGGCACATGGCCCATTTCTCACTAACAGTGAACATGTAACCATCAAGAAGCATTGGCAGTGATTTCACCAGTACCTCTCCCAACATATCAGTTTCCCTTCATGTGTACACTGAAATTGTGAAGAGGTTCATGTGAGTGCCCTTTATATTTGAAAGCTGAAAGCAATGTAGCTGGCCATAAAAAGAAATATTGCACATGGTGGCTTGTTAACAAGTTGTTCGAGCCTGTTCTTGCAGATAACTTCTCAAAGGAAACAATTCCAGTTTTTCCAAAGAGGAAAGGTCTGCAAACCATCTGTTAGTGTCTTCTACTGTGTCCTTCCTAAACGAATGATCTCCACAAGAAGTAAATGGATTTGACAGTTTTATGAAACTGAAGAATAATGTATATTCCACAAAAGACTGCACCTTCTTAATGCACTGAGTAACAAAGTGGCTAATTCTGCTCCCATTTATTTCTTCTTATTAAAACCTTTCAACATGTTTAATTGTGCTTGACTTGATAGTTATTATCAAATTATCTCTGATAGAGACTCAATTTTGCAGCACTCTAAGTAAACTACTATGAATGGTCTTCAGATCTCAGAATGTTCTTGCTCATTCATGCTTACACACCAGATTTTCCCCTCCATGTTTTAATAACATTTTTATTAATATGTCGCAGTGGGCAAAACTTCCTCATGCCAGATGTTGATGATGTCCTTTGTATCTTGTTACTATTACTGCATTTTTGGTAAAAAGATTTAGGGATTCCAAATGGTCAGATTCAACAAAGTCAACAGTTCTCCTCAGATAATAATGAAATTAACATAATATCTTCGCATCTACACCACCATGTTTCTTGTACATGAACGAACATTTAAAATAATCTTTGTTTCAATGTTCAGGAATAAACTTAGGTTTATCTTTAGTTAACATGCAAAATGGATCCTGGGGGTAGTGCTGAATTTGATGCTGTGTAATGTGTGAAATAGTTGGTGTTGTATACATTAAAAAGAATATCTGCTGATTTTTTTGTATTCAGTTTCAATGAAAACCATTTTTTTTGGTCTTGCTTTTGCTCAAGATAATAAACAAAACAAAATACAGAATTTGGCCAACGCCAAACCTAACAGGTGCATGTGAACATCAGAGAAATAGGACTTACCTCATGAGAGGATGTGATTATTATGGCAAAAATAATCGGAACTTGTTGATAAAAATGATGTTAAAAATGGCACCATCCCTGAAGCAGGTAGTAGTGTACATTTTGACAGTTTGTAGTCATGCAATTAACTAGCTCATGTTTTCTTATCTCATGTGGGAAAGAGTAGGGCTTGAGTAAGCGAGTGAAGTGTGAAAATATATTTTAAACGTCCCCAGCACTGGCTTAGGTGTGGGCCAGTTCTATTAGAGATAAGGGAAAGCTGTACATAAAGATCTATGTAGGGTAAAGTAATGTTTAATTAGTTGGAGTGGGCATTAACTGTGTAGTGTGAGCCATTGTTTAGTTTGCTACAAGCAAGTAAAACTAGGAGCAGTGTAACCATGTGCTAGTGTGTTATTTCATGAAAAGTAACTCAGAGTTCAGAAGTGTTACTTTCTCCACAAGCATGCTAGCTTTGGGATTCTGGGAAAAGTGATCTAAAAGAGTAACTTTTCCAAGCTGGTGGAGGTCATGTGAAAAAAAAGTTTGGAGTGTGGAGGAAGCATCCTGTTGTTTGGCTACCAGAGATTTTGTTCTCTTCTCCTCTCCTGCCCCAAAGTACAAAAACTTTGGCCCACCTCCCTCTCTGTCCTCTTATTCTCTGAGCCTGTAAAATTAGACAATAATGTGAGTAGAAGTGTTTGCTTATGTAAGAGCAAGGTGCTGTAAAATTGCCCCATGTAGATCTGTGGTGCTGTACAATGGTCCTACCTAGCAGGACATGTGTCAATGATGACCTCCAGTCTCCTTGAGGTACAATTTACATGTTGCACACAAGGGGCCATTCTTTACATCTGCAAGTTTAATCACAGATCAGTAGGTGCAAATCAGTCTGTGGTACGCTATAGACAAGGAGATGTGAACTAGAGAAAAAAGGGACTCATTGTCATAATCACTTCGATACAAATCCCACTAGAATTCCACTAGGCCACTGAATCCAGGGGAGTTTGGAATGCTGACACGTACATGAATTCCATTGGTTGAGTGGGATTACTTTATCAAGTTTCTTTGTTTGTTTGTTAATTTAATTTAATTTAATTTATACCCTGCCCATCCAGACCAAAGTCTACTCTGGGTGATTAACAATAATAGATAAAATAAAAACAATATAATAAAATGTAAAACAACTGTAGTAATTTAGTTCAGGATGGGAAAAATGTTCAAGTGATGACAGGTGGGAAAGCCTGCCTAAAGAGCCAGGTCTTAAGTTTGCTCTTAAACACCCCCAGTGAGGGAGCCAGACAGATCTCGGGGT